TTACAGCTGCCTAGGTAGAGACGTAATTATTCTCACATGTCTGCTGCTAACAACTCAAGGGAAGGGAAGGTTGGAGCCATTTAGCGACTTCCCGCTGCCTGCTCCACTGATCAGACCACAGCTGCGGTATTGACGGCGTGGGCCATGAGATTTCCGCTTCCCCCCACCCCCTGACACTCAAAACACATGTATTGACAGCCATTTCAATCGACCGGAGGAAGTGTGACCTTGTGGCCGCGGTGCCTTAGCAATGGCAGAACAGAAGATCAATGGAATCTGACTGTCGTATCGCAGGGGAACAGTTCTGGGTCCCATTTCCAGAAAATATCATCAAGATGGGAAGGGAAAAGGCTTAAGCTACAGGTGCAGCATCAATGCAGAAACTAAAGCCTCAGATCTTCGTGTCTGGCTCTGAACTCTGGCCAAATGCAAATGAGGTGCTCGTCTCTACAAGATGTACAGCCCAGCCCCTGAAAGAACTGGGTAAGGCCGCCAGATGCTCAACCACTACCAGGAACGCAAACAGTCCCTCTGAACACACAGTACTGCATGCAGAAAGCACTTAGCACCCTTTAACAGCAAGCCCAACGGACTACATGTTTGCACAGAAGGACAATACATTTCCCGTTACTAAGAAGCCTACTTCTCTTCCACTACATCACTCATTCTCAAGGTTGCTATCACATACCCCCCCCCAAAAAAAAACACCAAAAGATAAAGCCCAATTCTAGTAAAAGCAAGAGAGGAACGTGGAAAGCTAGTCTGGATGCAAAGCAACATCAATGTGGAGAAGTCCTGCAGAATGACCACGATGCAGTCTGGACAGGTGAGGAAAAAGAAGTCGTAGTGAGTTCCAACACAGCCTTATCTACGGTGGACCACACTGCCTATGACTACAGAGGGTGCTCTTCCCACCACCAGACAGGTGCAACTGACACACCAGCAGAAGCTGGCCAAAAACAGGATTGATTGCTTGCTTGATTCATTCGTTCGTTCAAAATATTTTTATCTTGTCTTTCTCCCTGAAAAGGAACCAAGATGGCTCACAGCAATGAAACACAACATTTAAGGCTGAAAACCATGAACATACAACGATGGTTAATGTCATTAAAAGACAGTATTTAAAACTATGAATAAGGAGGAATCTTACATCATGAATAGGCAATATTAAGGCAAAGATAAACGAGCATACAATTGTTTTAAAAAGTCACTCTGAGAAATGGGAAACATAAAAATGGAAAACACAAGTTGTACTAAAAATCCAGTCAAAGCAATAATGCATAGCAATCTATCTGAATACTGCACACAGGTAGCTGGTTACTGAGCAAAGGCTTGCCTTGAGAGAAAGGTCTTTGCCTGCCTGCGGAAGGGTAGCAAAGATGGGGCCAGCCTGGCCTCCAGTGGGAGGGAGTTCCAAAGTCTGAGCGCAACAACAGTGAAGGCCGTCCTCCATGTCCCTGTGAGGGTGATGGGACTGAGGGAACTGCCCTCACCCAGGGCAGAGGCACCTAGTAAACCAAAGGATGGCGAAAACTGGCTCTTCTGGAAGGAAGGGAACATTCTGCCTTAGATGCTGTCTGGATTAAACTTTGACTTTCCACTTGCCAAGAAGGTTCATCTCCACGGAGCACCTTCCCACCCCAACTGACAGATGGTGCCGGATACCTGCTATGGATATTAAAAAAGAAAGGAGGAGAAAGTTCCTCTCTCTGCCCCCACCCCCATACCAACATACTGGTGACAAATTGTTCCCAAATCTCCAAATCATGCTTCCGGCAAGTCCACCACCACCATCTTGAACTTGAAACAAGATGGAGCAAAGCATAACTTTAAATGCTGCAGACAAAGCAGAGGCCCTGGGGTTAATTGAATGCCATCGATTTCACAGGCGATTCTAGTGGCTAAGAGATGCCATCTCAACTTGAACGGACAAATGTGCAATTTTCCAAACCATCCCTCACCTTGGGACATAAAACAAAACCACCTGCCTCTCGCCTCATTTACTGGAAATGAATGCCTACGAACGGGAGGCTCATTTAATGAGCATTGCAGATTTATTATGTCATAACTCCATTCCTTCACAGGTATGCAGGCCGGTTTTGGGACCCCCGATCCACCCTACATCACACTGTGCACAGGAAGGGATATAAACTATTAATTTCCAAACACGGGGGGAATATCCTTCTATAAAGGCATGTAGAAACTCCAAGGAGCTGGAAACTGTGAGTTTTACATAAAAAAAGCATTGTTTTATTATATAAAACAATATTTTGTTTTCAAATCTCACCTCACAAAATTAATTTTTAATGTTAAGATGGTTTTTGACATTTAATTGTTTAATCGTATTTTAATGAGTATATAGTTTAATTATTTCCTTAATGTTTAACTTATTACATTTTTAATTCTATTCTTTTTAATATTGTGAGCCACCTCGAGTACCCTTTTTGGGAGAAAAGAGGCCTATAAATAAAATAAAATTTAAAATTAAATAAATACATGTGAAATCCTTTTTTTCACTTTTAACAAACAGAAGCAACAGATTCATGCTTAGCTTTAATTCTAAACCAAATAATGTACTTTTTGCTGAAAGAGTTGGAGAATAGTAAGAGAGAAATTTAAAAGAAGCGGCTGATGGTGCTGCTATCCTGATGATGTTTGAACTACCCTACAGATTATTTCACAACTTCTTTCTGCCCCTTAAATTGCCTCACATTGTAAACTAATTATAAGTTTCCATATAAAGATCTTCCATTCTGATGCAGCTGAAACAGCAGAGATCCACTGTCACTCCAGTGAACACAGCCTGTAGGATAACATGCAAGGCAAAGCATCAATGCTTCTAACCTCCCAATGTATGGAAAAATAACTATGCTTAATCCCTAGGAACTAAAGACAACGAGAGACTTCCATATGTTATGTCCACAACCCAAGAGTCCCATTCATCCTACAGAAAACGCTTTGCCAAAATTGTCACATTGGCTTTAGACACTGAAAGATCTTGCTTTTTTTGGTGGGGGGAAGCTTTTTAAAGAATACCTTCCTTTAGAGCAACTCCAGAATCCTGCCCCAATAAGGTCTGCTTCTCATGGCATCAAAATACTTGCAAAAACAAATTGCTGCAAAGGTGTAAATGCAAGCATATACTGGTAACAATCTTACACTACTGCAGGGTCCGTTTAAAACCATCCATAATGTTCTTAATCCTTCATTTATACTTGAATAATTTACTGTTTTTAGCTTTTAATATGGTGTTTTTAATGGATGTAAGCTGCCCTGGGTCCTTTTTTATAAGAAAGGAAGAGTCAAACTATTTTAAATGGATGGATGGATGGATGGATGGATGGATGGATGGATGGATGGATGGATGGGTAGGTGGGTGGATAGCCCATAAAGTACCATCCACTGGTCATCCCCCTTTGATATTATTCTATATTTGACTATTTCATCTCCTCCCTATAGTCCAGCTGAACTTTAGACATAAGCTATTTTCCTTTTTCCTCTTGGCTTTCTTAAAGCGACCTCAGATGGCACTGATGACCTATAATATCAGGGACATCACCTACCCCTGTGGATAACCAGGGAGAGCAATATGGGCACTCCCTTGAGACGGCTGGCATCAAAAGTGAGAAAAGATTGCCCCATTTTGGATGTTCACAGGTTTAATCTGGGATTTTCTGTTCCTGAAAATAATCTGGGATTTTGAGCGTCTGCAGTTGAATTTCGTGTCACCCATCCCGTCTTCATGTCCCGCCTTGCCCTCCCTCCACTGCCCAATTTCACACACAAACCACAACTTCGGAATGGGGAGGGCCATCAGACAGGAGCATCTTTGCGCATACAAACACACCACTCTGTGCTCAAGATCCACAGCTGACCTACCAGTGATGGCTCACAAAGCTACGAACAGGCCTCCCCAGACAAACCAGCCAAGTTTCTCCAGAGCGTCCCCCCAAAAGCCCGTATCACTCGGATCAAGGCCCATTAGTTTCTTTATTTATTAGATGTAATTTATTAGAGGTCTACTCTGTTCTTCGTTCTTGATCCTGCTTTCAACCTCCCCCTGGTCTTGTGTTACCCCTCCCATCCCACCGGGTAATCCCTGTTGCTTTTGGAAGCTGCCTTTGGATTTTTTTGGTACTATAAAGATCTTTTTTGGGTGGGGGTGTTATTATATCATTTTAATCCTAAACGCTGCCCATCCACCACCCTGCAGGGTCACCCGGATAGCAGACAACCACTCTTCTCCAGGAAGCAAAAGCACTGAGGACCCTATTTCAGGAGAAGCAGGGCTCTGCACATGCCCAGAGGCAACTCCTCTTCTTCCCCATGCCAGCCACTCTGAATATCCAGAAGCACTCCATCCCTAATGGATACTCTGCACATGCCCAGAGGCACCTGACTTACCACCACCACCACCACCACACACTTGCCATTTATGAAGAGGCACTGCTTTGTTCCCTGGTCCAGTCCAGTCTAGCCTAGTCAAGGGGTTTTACATATGTCCACGGATATTCCTCCTTCTCCCCATAGCCAGGCAACCTGCACATGCCCAGAGGCACCCTTCCTGCATGGCCAGACACTCTGCACATGCCCAGAGGCACCCCTTGAGGCACAATGTAAACACACAGACGCCCTCCTCCAAGGCCTAGTGCTCTGCACATGCCCAGAGGCCCTCCCTCTTCGCCCCCGTGCCACAGACACTCTGCCCACGCCCAGAGGCACCCTCTCCTCTCTCAGCCAAAGGCTGCAAAGGGGGAAAGAGGCACTCCTCTTTCTTCCTCCGCTCCCAGAGGGAAGCATTCTGCACATGCTCAGAAGCATCCCCTCCGCCCGGACTGACACACCCACCCCGTATCCGCGGCCCAGACCGTGTGCGCATGCCCAGAAGCCTCTCCTCCGCCCCGCCTTCTTCCCGCCCCGGGCGCTCTGCACGCGCCCAGAGGTAGCCCCGCCTCCCCCCCCTCCCTTAGCGGCGAAGGGCGCGGCGGCGGCGGCGGCACCTGCTGATCTGGATGTTGCGCGGCGGGGCGGAAGGCAAGGCGCCGGGAGGGACGGCTTCTCCGCTGGCGGGCTGCATGACGAGGCTGGTCGGGCGGAGATGAGGAGGCGAAGCGCGGGAAAAGGTGCCCGAGACCTGCCGGCGGCTTTGCGGACTGAGCGGCGGAGGGAGGAGTGGCCGGGAGGAGCCTCTCGATCAGACCACGCCCCCTCCCCGGGATTGGCTCCTGGCCCGCGCTCTCTTCCCTTCCTCCCGCCCCCCCTGGAACCGACTCGCTCCCGATTGGCCTGTCCCCGCGGCGACGCCCACCCGGCTCCAACGCCGGCCCGGCCTCCTCTCCCTCTTAGCCACGTGACACCAACAAAAGCGTCCGCACGTCGCCGGCCGGCTCGGCCAGCCGGGCGCGAGGTTGGGGGTGTGTGTGACGTCAAGCGCGTCATCTTCGCAGGGGCAACATGGCGGCTGCCATAGCAACGGTTATTTCCGGTCCTGACGCCGTGCGAGCTGGGTGGAGATGGGTGGCAACATCACAGAGGACTGTGGGGCTAGAGTGGCGCCAGTTCCTCCTTCTCTCCTTTCCATAGGCAGTTGCCATGGTGAGGAGGGGCGCTTGGCCTATTAGAAATTCAATCACCGTGGCTAATATATTCATAAATAAATATTTCATTTTTCTTCCCTTGCAAGACTTTTTTTAAGACACAAACTCAAAACACAAAAAGCTGTAGTATTGAAATACAACTGATAGCACAATAATAGTAGAAGTCCATTTAAAACAGTTTAGGACACTGAAATAAAATAATAATAATAATAATAATAATAATAATAATAATAATAATAATAAAAGAGATGTGCCTTATTGATCCTGGTGGTGAGCCTTTGAGTCACCTGATCCCTGGGACTACAATCCCCATCTGCCCCAGCCAGAACATCCTTTCTGGAAAGACCATGGAACTTGTAGGATAACCTTTTCAGGATGAAAGAAATTCCAGAATCATGAGGGGCTGCTTTTATTAAGCCAATTAAGAAAACGCACACGCACACAAATTGCAAACTTTTCTGATCACAGATCTCTTCAGCCTGGAAGATGAGGTTAACATGAGCCCATAATGTTTTAGGGCAGCCACCTGAAATTCAAGACAGGGTTTCTTATCCTGGAAAAGAGGGCATGCAACAATTGTATTGAGACAAAATCCTTCTTCGACACCACTATTAAAAGATACAGGAATCTCATTTCCAATTTCAAATGGCCACATCCTAAAATATGTTTGGGGCGGCAGAAGAAACCATAAAGCAGGAAACACATTTGATCCAACCCCTCCAAAAACCCACAATGTGTAAGTTGTGTAAGTTGGAATGTTTACAACCAGAGAGGGGAAATATCCCCCTGACATTTACAAGGGAAGGAAAAAGGTCTCAGGCGGCTAGAGAAGGAAGAGACACCGAGAGATTAAAAATATAGGTGCAATGCTCTCATTTCTGAATAGGTTCTTTCTTGTTCCAACAGAATGCAGAAACTGATGTGCCCATGTAGAACCAAATCCAGACTACTGATCAAAGTAATACCTTTATTAGGTCATTTTTCAAAAAAACTTTCATGGTTATTCCCCCTTCCTAAAGTGTGGTATTATAAAAGACGAAGGGCTAGGAAGAAAATGCAAGAAGGAAGGAAGGAAAAAACACCATATATTTATGTTCCCATTCGTGCTAGCTGTGATAAAAGGGAGAAAACAACAGATATTCATATCTCAGGCCACCTACTGCTAGTACTGTATTGAATTGCAGCAAGAAGTAGCCATTCTCGAGGCTGGAAAGAAATACAGTAAAGTAATTCAGCCATTCAGTGATGCAGAAAAGAATCCCAATCCTGACTTTTGACCCGTCGCTCCCTTCGTTCTTGTGAACCTGTTTCCAAAATAAAATCCTCTACCAGGGGCAACACGCACTGTTTCTGGACCTGGTTAACAAGACAGTTCTTACTTCACATATGTCTCCCTCACCCATTTACCTCCCACGTGAGGTGGACTACGACACCCCAAATCCTACGAAAGGCATAACCATCAAAGGCATCCGCTCGAGGAAGGCTGATCTCCAACCACTCCGTTCTAGAATTTTAGAAATGTATTCCCTTCCTCAAAAGATAAGCTTTCTCTTTTTTACGGTAGATATTCGTTTGAGGAAAGCAGGCGATGCCCCTTCAAAGGGGAGCTATTGCCATAAACTGCTTCTTATTTCAGTGACAGTTGTATAGATTCAATACTGGGAATGCATCCCATTGTATTGTTTATTTCCGCAGGGGCACAGGTAGTGTTGCACTGCCAGCTTTGCAGGTGAATATACCACACATTTCCGTTTCTTCCCCCTCATCTTGACCAGATGGTTATTTAAAAAAACAAAGACATCGGCACTGCTTGCTCTTCTTATTTCATCATCTTACGACAAGGATCTTGTTTCACTGATTTGGTTCATCCTACCGGTTGTTATTTGACAGGCTTGGCATGATTCAGCAGTCTGTCTCTGCCTTTTCCCCCCCCTTGGCAGGACTTCCTCTCTAAGAGCTATTTTTAGACTGAATGAATTATTTAATGGCTAGAACAAGTGCTTTCTAAGAGTTCTCCTAACACGCCAATCCTTTTAGTTCCTTTCTTCTTCTTCATGTACTTGGTTTCCCCCCCTGCTAATCTGGAGTCAGTTCTCATTTTCTTTAAAATCGGCACTCTAATGAGAAACATCCTTGGCACCCGCTTGGTGGTCTTTCTGCCAAGAATTCATTGGAGTATAATCTCCTGCAGTTCCCAGCAGTCTTTGCCAGCAAAGACAATGACAAGGCATGCTGGGAGTTGCAGTCCAGTCAACATCTGGATGACCACACCTTGACCCACCTTGCAAAATATCTTGCTCTCTAAGGATTCTTGGAAGCAGCTGGTTGACTACTGTCACTAGACCAGTGTTGGACTCAACGGAAGCTGATCACTCCAGTGCATAAAATTTAAGAGCTACCCTATTATTTGTGAATAGGTTCAGCACCATGCATAGATCCAGGGGGCTTCAAAGACCACAAAGTGAAGCAAATGTATGAGCCTTATGTCATTGAGGCTGCTGTCCTCCATGATTTAGACTGAGCAATGGTTTCCAATCTGGGGTAGCCCCAGTGTTCTTGGACTGCAATTCTCAGAAACCCCAGCCAGCACAGCTGGGAAATGCAACCCAAGAACGCTTAGGTGACCCATAGCTGGTAACCACTTATGTAGAGAGTTTGTACCTTTTAAATGTTCCATCCGTCTCCCTCTCTCTGATGGCTGTTTCAATTTTATTTTCTTTTTTAACAGAATTTGGAGGTCTTCTTACAACCATGCTAATGGAGAGTAATTTTCTTCCTGCTTTCCTTTCACATTGAGTTAAATGGCACTGAGATGGATATCAGGGGAAAAAACTTGTGTTAAGGTGTTTTTGGCTACAATATTAGCAAAGATATATATATATATATTGCCAACTTCTTCAAACATAAATTCATGGCACTGAGATGGATATCAGGGGAAAAATCTTGTGTTAAGTTGTTTTTGGCTCCAATAGTTTCAGGATGGAAAATACATCAGCTGGATAGATACTCTTATTGCACAGTGGTAACTAAGGTCTGTCTTTCCTGTTACGCACCATCAAGTCATTTACAACTCATGGTCACTTATTGACTCAAGAATTTCCTCAAGGTCCTATTTGTGAACAAACAAGATTCACTGGGAAGGACAGGGTAAAACATGTCAGAAAGAGAAGGGAAGCACTAGGAGAAGAAGAAAACGGAACATGGGATGGATTGACTCAATAAGAAAAGCCCCATTCTGTGCTCTGCAGGATTTGAGCAGGGCTGTTTATGAGAAAACCTTTCAGAAGTCACTCATTCATAAAACTGCTGTAAGTCGGAAGCGTTTTGACGACACCTAACAAAAGCAATGCTGGGACTGAAGGCCGTTGCATCTGGAGGTCTGCACTTTATCCATTTCTTAATTAGACTGTTGGGCTTTCTGAGGGGTTGGGGGCCAGGCTTGCTCCTCTTTTTGTTGCAAAACCGCGGTTCTGAAAGGCTTCTAAGAGTGAGAAATGACATTTTGGCCCAGACAACCACCCAATGGCTAAAAGGGTTGTGGACGGTTCCTTGTATCCACCAGCCCATGCTTTGTCCTACCCTTGGATTAGAATGTAGCAGATGGGAACATAGGGAATGTTGAACCCAGCCGCCATCCAGTGCAAAACTGCTGTGATCCATCTTCTATTCTCAGCAGAATCCGGTAGAGGGCAGGCTAGGAGAAGAGAAACCTACCCATCCCTCCATGTTCATCTTAAGAACTGGGAGTCACTTGCATTTGGAACTGAGGTTCTTCCTTTTCTTGCTCCTAGGTTGGAAAAGTTAAACAGACACATACTGCAGTTCTGGTAATCCCCAAGCCAGAACAGACCGTGTTCTGCTCCTGCCTGCCCCACCCCACCCACCGTGCACCCTTTTGTCTATCCCTGCCTTTCAGGAAGGGAGCTGACCTCTCCCATCTCAGCCTTCTGTTTCAAGCTTCCTGGAAAACCAGTTTCAACAACAACCATATAACTCAGGAATGAGTGGGGGGGGAGAGGGAGAGATGCACCCAGGGTGGAAAACCATGAGAAGGTCTACGTTGGACCAAACCAAGAGTGCATCTGAGCCCATGCCCCACGCCTTGTCCTACATTATCCGTTGACCAGGGATGGGTGAGATATGTCTGTCTCTGATATTTGAGGATAGCCTGGCTGGGGTTGATGGGGGCGGCACCTGAGTTCTGGCTGGAGCATTACCTTTGCTCCTTTCCCCATTACTACGTAGCTGATCAAGGCAGGTTGTTTTTGTGGGTGAGGCCAGCTATTCTGGATAAAAGGACAGGATGCTTTTTTGAAGCCACGGTCGCCTCCTTTTTGATTTGGTTTGGTTTGCAGACTGCCCCCTTAGCGCAATGTGCTATGCTAGATGGTTTGCAATAATAATTAAAACATATGGTAATAAACTACAAATGCATAATAAGAAATTTAAGCATTTGACAAGATAAAGCAAATGGCACCAGAAGCACTGCTCTACAAAACAAAAACAAAAACAAAAAAACCGGAAAGAGGCTTAAAACCAGACAGGGTTGGTGTGGAAGGCCTCCCTGAAAAGCAAGTTGCCTCCTCAACGTTAACAGGGAGGGGGCCAGCTGTAGCTCCACCAGGAGCGGGTTCCACATAGCTGGTGCCACCACGAAGAAGGCCCTGCCT